AACATAAATATTCTGAGACTATGGTCATGTAAAAAGGCTCTATTGCAGTTACTACTGGTGCAGGTACCTGCTGAGACACCAGTAATTGGAAAAGCATGTTCTGTATATATGAACAATTAACTGTACTTATCCTTTATCCTCACCAAGCTGCTGGGGTTATCTTACACCCTGAGCAAGGCTATGCATTCCACAGCTCTCTCTCCAGTGCAGACACTTTATGGTGTTTTAAATGTTTGCTCAAGAAAAGATGGCAAACAGCCTAGCTATGCATAGAGAAAGGTGTTCAGTGCTCACAGCTTTCAAATTGCTGAACCAACTCTGACAACATAACTTTAACACAAACAATAACGTATCTAACTCTCCCTGACCTCAGCAAATCATTATGTAGTGCTTGGCCTGAGCTGCAAATCTTGCTGGTGTTTGTGCTTATTCTTGCCTTTTATCTCTCCCCCAGGTCCTGCCAGCCTCGCCCAGCTGTGCAGGTTGTGCATCAGGAGGCATCTGGGTCGGCCGTGCCTGCACACAGTCCCCAGGCTGCACCTGCCAGAGCTACTGGAGAACTTCCTCCTCTATCGATGAGTCTGTGACTGCCTTGAGACTGGAAAAGAAAGAGGAACAAATGGTTGTTTACTCCAAGATTATTATATCTAAGAAAAAAAATTCAAAGGCATCATTTACTGTCCTCTTTGGCTACCAAATTTTGGCTGCTATGTGCCAGTGAAAGTTGAAAACACCTTTTCACAGGCAGTGAATGGTATTATGGACACAGCTCCCTCACAATCTATTGCCACATGGATTTAGACCAGCCTGAGAAGTTCCAGTATGTAAACAGCTCACTTGACATGTGCTTGTGTGTGCATATGCACACGTCCACTCACCCACTTAGAGATTTCCCCTGCATTTAGGGCTATATTTATTTGTGCAGTATCTTTGCAGCTTCTTCCCTTTGTCTATCCAATCTCAATGTCAAAATAAAGGCAGTGAATATTTTTCTTCCATTAGTACGTGAAAATGAAAACTTTGAGTGACTAACATCAGATGTATACAATACCTGCACATCTTTTATTAGCTTTGATTTTGCATCTTTTCATCTCCTTCCTATTGTCTACTGGAGCCCGATCAATTTCCAGCAATCTCTGGCTGTCCAGCCACTGTACATCCCTGAACACAGCTATTCCCAATGCTAACACATCTTGTCCTTGGAGGTACAAGAAATGTTATGAAAACAAGTGCAGGGGTTTTGAGTAAACCCATAAAACTGTCTGAAAGTCTTAAGAAACTCTTTCACTTCTTCCAGAAAAAATCCTTCCAAAGTTATGTTACCTGCGATCTGGCTGTATTCATTACATGAACATTTTTTCATAGCTTAATTCCATGACAGAACTGCAAATGTTTTTACATGCATAATAGGTGATATTTCAATGTCCATCCTTTGCAAGGTTTAAAGAAAAGCAAAGAGTGCTGCTTTTTTTTTTTTTTTTTTTGGCTTTTCATGCTTTGACATTTCTCAAGGTAAGTCCTTGGACTGTGGAGCTGGAGAGAAGCAGAGCCACTAATGATGTTTGTGCATCACCCAAATGTTGTCCTTGTTGAATTTTCCTCACCAAGAATGGTTTGCAGGCTTCTGTGCCCCCTCACCCCCTATTCTAGAGGCTTTAATTACCTCCCCAGAAGAAAGGATTTTTTGAGTATTATAATTGTCCATTGTGATATTAGTTTAAGTAATGTGAGGATTTGTAGCTTGGAAACAGCAGGGCAGAAAGCATATACCTCTGAGTTGAGAAATGTGGTGTACAGTGACACTTGCAATGCCTGTTTGACTTTGTAAAGATTTGTTTATTTTTCTGTTCTTCTGGGGAACAAAAAAATTTCTTCAGAGCCAAGTTTTGGTAAACTTCTGCCATGAGACAGGCAGTGGTGTTTCACTAGTTGTAGTAAAATGGAAAGCAGAATTAAAAGGACTCTGTCTCCATTTTGCTCAGCTTCACAGGTCCAAGAGGCTGCTGACACATTTTCAGGCTGTGAAATGTACTGGTTTCTTTATGAGTTAGGCGTACTGGAACCAATTTTCACTGCCCATACATCTTAAGTCAGAGGGAATTGGCCTCCTGGAGTCTGGATATGGGACTGGCTTCCAACAGCATTCAAGCTCCTGTCCCTGCTCCAGCAGCAGCAGTCTCTGGTTCAATGCTAACAATCCCTTAATATCACCCTGACAGTTTCTTTGAGATTAAGGTCCAGTGTTTCCCATACTTCTTTATGATTAATTCAGCACGAGTAAGATAAATTGAGCTCTCAGCAGCTCATGAGACTGGACCTTCAGCATTACAGCCAAAAATGGATGCAGTTTTCAGCCTGTGTTTGCACATATTGAATGTTATCTGATGGCAAGAGCTATTGCCCATGAAGTTTTCAGTGACATAAATGACCTTCTATGGTATAATACATCATGAATCTCAGAGATTTGAACACTAATTTCTCAAGAGCCTTTGAAAATCAAATACTATCAAGTAATAAATGTCTATATTAATCTGATGTCAGCAGATCTCTCTCAGTTCTATCTTTACTGCAAACTCACCTGCTCTGCTAATAAAGTGGCAGTGAGAATACTATCTGCTCTCTAAACAGAGAGAGAGCCTCAGCTGTATGAGTTGTCAGACTTGCACTGCAATCAGGGACTTAGGCAATTTATGGGATCTATTTCAAAATGTGTAATGCTGAATTGATTTCTTTCTGCCATCATCAATGAAAGCAGTATTTCACTTGCACAGGACTTTAAACTGAAAAAAAAAAATGTATCTACATTAAGAAAATGCAAAGTCAACTCAGCCTCTCGGAAAGTTTTAGCTCAAGAAGCAGGAGAAGGTGTCCTATATTTATTCCTGATATGAGCTTCCCATCAAAAAATCATTTTACCTTTCCCTCTTCCTGGAGGCTTACTTCTCTCTGAAATTCTGTATATCAGAGAGTCTGACTGCTTTAATAAATTAGAAGAGAAGTTCAGAAGTCCTGAGATTAAGAAATTTCATTAGTAACTTTACCTAGACTTTCTTGCTCTTAAATTATGAAGTTACCCATTAAATGCTCACTGGCTGTGCATTGGGTCATAACAATGCAAGAAAATACCGAGGAAATAGCTGGAGGAAGTATTTAATTTTTTTTCAAAATGCCATCTCATGTGAGGGTAAGGAATGACAATTTTCTATGAGGCTATTGAGGTCTTGGTGATTTTTCAAAATGAGTTTGGAAAACATCTGTCAGGTGCTTTACTGAAGGTAGTAGATAGGAAACTAATCTCACAAGATCTCTTTTTTTTAAAAAAAGTGGTGTCTTCTCTTTCATTCTGTGTTGTCTGAAATCAGTTGCTTGGGTAAGGTATGGTTTTCCTGGGGATACAGACATTTTTATGTGCTGGAATTCCACTGCTATACAGTGCTCTCTCAGTCTCTTGCCCAAAACCTGGCTCCACAGGTTTTCCTGTAGCTTGAGATTAACTTTTCCCAGAGATTTCTCTGCAAACATTCTGGCCAGTGGGCCACATCCTCAAGGATATACACAGCCTGTGTGAGTACACATAGCCTGACACATGTTGGGAGGGCTTAATGAACAATATTTCTTAAGGTAGCTAGGAAAAGAAGCTTCATATTGATTTGGCTCTGGAAGGATCTCTGTTTTGATCTCCTGACCAACCTGTTGGGTTCAAGGTGACCTCTGTTCCTACAGAGGAACTCTGCTATTGGCATTTAACCATCCTCATTCCCTCTAGGACTCAATTTTTCACAGCAGATCTATCAGTCCCTGAACTTCTGTCTGTCCAGCTGCATTTGTCATTCAGAGAGTGAAATTAAAAAGTCTAGGGAAATGCTAGACTGTTGAAACTTGTTGTTATACTGTAGGAACTGAAGTTCCTCATCTGCCTTGAGGTGCCAGCACCCCACCTTCCCAGGCAGATGCAGGCTGTGAGGGAGGCTGTCTGTCTGTCTGTCCACCTGTGTGCTCTGCTCCCCTGATGGGACTTGCCTGTGCCACATTGGGCAGTGGGATGGGAGGATCAACTCCTGACTTTGTCTCCCCCCAGGGAATTGAGCCTGGCCAACACCTCCTCAAGGTATTTAGATTTCTTCCCTCCACACGTCAGAATTAAATGTTGTGCTGCCCCTGTGCAAAGCCCTGCAAACAGGGGCAGTGTCCCCTCAGTGCCACTCCCTGCCCTGCCCTTGCTGCCAGCTCTGCAGCACAGGAGACACGGGGGCTGCCCAGCACCCTTCTGTCCCCAGCCTGACCTGTCCTGCAGCACAACCCTGCTGCTGGCATTCAACACCCCTCCAGTCCTTACTGGATTGAAAATACTGGTGGTGTGTCCCAGCATGGCATTAGGACAAGTCTGATAAGAATCAAAATTAAATACATTCGCTGACTCTTAGCCCAAAAATGCCTGACCTGTATCCTGGAGTGATGGTTCCTGATGCCTTTGTGTAATTTTTTTCAGAAATTACCATTTCCAACATGCCATTTCCTCCTCACTGTGGCTTTTTTTTTTTTTTTTTTTTTTTTTTTGTTTTTTTTTTTTTTTTTTTTTTTTTTTATGTTCTGTATGAGATGTATATTATTGTCAAATACAGATTATTCCACACAGAGCTTCTACCTAATTTGATTTTTATTTCTTGAAAATTCCTTTATTTTAAAATTTTATACTATTTGTAGTATGGGGAATTTCTACTATTCCAGTATTTGCTGGATGGACGAGACAGTGGGGCATAGGCAAACATTAATAATGACTTCCTTCTCCAAGTGACAGAGGTGCCAGTGAGGAGAACTGCTGTGCTGAACTTTGTTCTGCCCAACAAGGAAAAGCCAGTGGGGAATGTGAAGCTCAGGGGAAGCCTTGGTTGAAGGAACCATGGAATGGTGGAGTTCCTTAGGGCGCCTGGAAATGTTCCAGGCTGGCTGGAGCTTTGAGCAACCTGGTCTAATGGAAGATTGGAACTAGATGATCTTTAAGGTCTCTTGCAACCCAAACCATTCTGTGATTCTGCAAATTTTGCAGCAAGCATCCTGCTATATTTTTAGCTGTTTGTTACAAGGAACTTGCTGGCAGTATACTTTTGTGGTGAATGGTTCATTTTTTGCCAGGTTTACCTGCTGGCTATAGAGGTTAACATGCCCTAACAAAAAAGAAATTAAACAGAATGGGAAGGGAAGGAGATGTAGAGATTTCCAGAGAAAACTTGTTCTAACTTTTTTGTCCTAGGAATGTGAGTGAAATGTGGGAGTTTTTGTCTTAGACTTACTCATTTCATGTTGCCCATATAATTCTCCAGCTTCACAAACATGATTCCAAATTTTTTTTTTTTTTTTTAGGGTGGTGGTGGAAGGGGTAGTGCTCTCTGCACTTTTCTTGCTCTAGATGCTGACTAAATACCTATTTTACTCAGGTCACAATGAACAAATTGTTATGGACAGTGACAGTAACCCTGAATTTCTTTGAATGTTGGTCTACAAATTCCCATGAGGGTGATTCTTTTTAGTTTTTTGCATTAAAACCGAAAAAGTGTACTCATCAAACTATCTAGAAACTAGTGATGCCTTTCCATTCTGTCTCTATCATAATGTAAATAAACTGAAATATTTTTAAGGGTATTGGCCAAGAGGGTCATCCTTTGCATCTTATTTGTATCTCATTATCCTACAGGGAGATGTTTGCTCTTAGCTGTTTCAGAGGGTGAGTTCCTGCAGCCTGGAGCCTGATGTGTGTAAAAATACTTTGACTTTCTTCCAGCAGCTTTGTGCCTTTCATTACTGAGTACCTGTTGAAGACCACTTATCCTCAAATATCCCAGAGTAACTCCTACTTAATGAATGTGGTAATTTTTCTTTGCTACTTGTACATTCAGGGTAACAAGATATTTACAGCAATATATATATTAAACATGGCATCCTGAATAATTACAGTGACTGAGGAAGACATTTTTTTGGGTTGGGAATTTCCAAGACTTCAATGAAAACTTTCCTCTAAATTAATGCCAACAAGT